CTACATATATCTGAATACACAACACTCAACTATTTGGAGCTGTGCTCTGAGCAGGGAGCGCCGAGAAAGACAAAGCAGACCCATGTGCAGGTGGGCTGGGCTTTTCCGGGAAGGAAGCGCAGGAAGCCGGAGGAGAACCGGCCCTGGAGATGGAAGTAACCTGGCTAGGCGGGCAGCCAGGGTGGACGGCTGCGGCTCGGGGCGGAGGTAACATGCAGTGAATGAAGGCAAAAGAGGGCCAGTGCCTCACACGAGCAAGCTGGTCAGACAGGCAATGGGAAGACCTACACTTTCTCAGCAAGGAAGGCGCGGCATTTTAGAAGAGAACTGGGACAGCAGCAGGCAGACACACCGAAGGGGCAGCGCCCTGCTGGCCTCATGCAACCAGCTTGAGGTCAGGCACAGGGCAGAGCCCAGGGAACGCGGGCCCGGGTGAGGTGAGGCAGGTGGGAAGAACTAGGCCAACAAGCAGCTCTAGACAGAAAACCAGCTGAACAAACCAGGCCACTTCAGACTGCGCTTTCGGCATCTCACAGGAAACAAGAGGACAGACAAAAGCCGGCCTAGAGGAGGAGCTCCATCCGGGTCCCACTGCCAGGAACCCGAACAGCCCTGACGGACCAACCGCCACAGTGAGACTCGCACGAAGCTTGTTTCAGATGCCTCATAAAGAAGTAAATGAATTACTCTGGAAATACGTAACCTAGACTTAGGTGCACATCTAAAAGATTACGGAATTTAGGACAGCCAGATGGAAATAATTTCACTGAAATGCTTTTCAAACTTTATAAAGCATATCATACGCTCTGAAATTGTACTTAGGTATGTTTCTTTTATAAAAGAGGTTATTATTAATATAGTGATCTTTTTGCCTTTCTGTCAATTGTACTGTAAAGCACAAATATGATTTTAAAGATCATCTTAGGAGCAGCTAAAAAATTAGGTGTTAGAAGTCAAAAGTGAAAATACAGTAAACGCTTTTGGGGGAGCACTAAGATGACAGAGAGGACAGTAAGAGAAGCTTTACTTCAAGCCCAAGCTGTACATTATTTTGAGACTTAATACAGCCACTCCTCACTAAAAACTACAATAATGAGGGACTGAAGATGCAGGTGAGAGCTGGGGCGCCTGCCCTGCAGTCATGAGGCCCTGGCTAATCCCCAGTACTGCCTCGGTAGAGGAACAAACAACCTGGAAAGATGAAGGGATGGATCCACAAAGGGGGAATGGAGAGAAGGCTTTGGGTTTTTTCTAATAAAAAATCTAGACATACTAATACTTCAATAAACGAGGGGAAGACCCCGGTATACAACATAAAACACGAATCCCTTCAAAAACCTGTGCGACACCACCCCTTCCTGCTGAGTGCAGTCAGGTGCCGACAGCATGTGTATTGGCGGCCTGGAGAGTCTATATAAATGATTTAGAGCAGCCTGCAGACAGCCTTCGCACTGTAAATCTGCGATACCTGGTATTTCCAACATGAACTCATGGGTTAAGGCTGACAAACTGAACCTTGAAAGCTGGAACAGGGGGTTCTGGACTCTACTCACACATGTCTGCTTGCACTTGTGAAGATCAAATGCCTTCATGGAAGAGACTGGCTTTTGAATTCCACTCAAAGAACTCTAATACTTCTGTATCCAGCACTTTAATGTTAGGGATGAAAGATGAAATATTTGGCTACTGAAAATTAATCATCTTTAAGACAGAAGTCCATCTTACCTGCTCACAGACATTTATAAGATCTGTTCTCCCAAAATAACTTTTGTAGGTTGCTTTTATGCGGCTTGTTAGCTGAGCTGCTGCTTCAACTCTGGGTGTTTGTAAACTGACTGTCAGGCAAAGTGTGTTCCTATGTAAAAAAGGGGCATGAAGCCGGGACAAGAGAGATGTGCTCTCTAAAGCTCTAGAATTTTGGAACTGACAAGAGCGTCAACAACTGAGTTTCACATAACTTGCTATGAATAACGGTTGGAAGTTTTCAAAAGCAGTGATATAAAAACAGGCTCTTGGCTGTATACCTTCCCTACTACAATATTATGAAGACAACCTTTCACTCCTAAAGAAAAAAACACAAAAATCTTAAGTTTAGAAATAGAAATAATCACATTTAAACAAATGATTCAATAGAAATACCTAACTGACCCACTGCTAGAAAGCATTTAAAGTAATCTCTCAATGGACATCACCGTCCCTTGGCTTCCATCGGACACTGCATCGTCTATGAATACGTGGGGAAATAAAATTACAAAGCCCAACTACACTGAGAGCTCTGTACAAAAGGAGGTTCACTGTAAGGCTGCTTCCTAACCCAGAAATCCCAGCTACACTAAAAAAGTGCAGTTTCAATGAACTTAATTCACTGAATTTTCTATCCTCCTAATTAAGGCAATAAATATAAAAGAAAGCACAAGTATATAATGCATGGTGAGCCTCTGAAGTTACTTCACCGTAGGCCAAAATATCATCCTAAAAACAGACTTGCAACCTTTTAAACACATATGTTATTCTTATTGTAGTGTAAGAAGGAAAAAATTAGGCATCTGATTGCACAAAGCTTTGGGGTACCACAGTGAACCATACTAACAGTGTGTGTGGAATGTATGTAGTAACATAACAGTGTGTTAAGAAATGGAAATACTTATTTCCAGTGTGTTCTATTTACATATTTGTAAAGTTTTTGTACTGATGTTCAGAGGTTTCCATTCAATTTTTTACATCAGATTCTAATTTCACGTATAGCGTGGAAGTATGCATTGGATTAGAATTTTCAAGATCTTTTTTCATCTCTGAAAAAACTGTTGAGTCTTTAGTAAAAAGCAGGTTTTCTGTTCTGACCAAATAGTTTTCCTCTTTCTTCAACTAAAAGTCAGTTTTATCTGTTTTCTCATTTTAATTTAATCCTTCACTGAACAATTAACAGTCTTTAGAAAGAAACCTCTCTTGACAAATCTTAAATAAAGATCATGCCACTTTCCCTTTCCTAAGAAAAGGGCAAATTTATTTTAACTCATAAAACCACCTTTTTAAACACCATTCATAGAAGACAAACTTGAACAGATTAAGCAAGGTTCCCCAGCTCTGAGGTGGCGAGGGTAGGGCTTGAGCCTATGCCTGACTCACACACCTGCTCTAAGGAATGCACGACTCCTCCTACCCAAATCCAGCAGACAAGGCGGAAAGGTGAACATCGGTACACACGTGTTTGCTGTTTGGACATTTTTGCTGAATCAAAGTTCAAACTGAACTCCACTACCTGTCAAATCATTACCACGAAGTATTGCCTTTATATGTATTGTGTTGAAACTCTAATGTAGTTTTTAAAAAGTCAAAAAAACCCTTCCAAGTATATTTTTACTTATAATATTCACTTATTTTTTGTCTATACTGTTGTTGCAAGAAAGAGGTTTCACTTCACACCTGTTTTCCTCCGTAGTCTGCTTGAACCTCCTTTTCCATCTTCCTGGTAACAAACATTTGCAACTACACCTTAGCTAGGTCTGAGTACAAGTCAGTACAAGCCTGTTCCCCCTCAGATGGGAACCGCATTTGTCCAGAGGCGCCCAGTGGGGCCGCCTCAGTGGACATGAGGTCAGGGGTCATCTCCACTGGGTTCCTCCCCGTGTCCTTCCCCAACCAAGTACTGTGTATAACATCTCCATTTTATATGCTGTTGTTGTTTTATTCTCTTTAAAATAAAAATATACATATATATGTATATACAAGGATAGCTGGGATAATTGTACCGCTGATGTCTAATGTTTATTGAAAGGACCAGTTAATGCTTAAATTTTTTTGACTGATTTTGCATACTTGTAATCTGGTAATCTCAACGATTAATTTGGAGAAAACAATATGCAATGTAACAATCACTGGTGAATTCCTACCATCTTGTCTAGTGAAGCTCTATATTGTTTCTAATGTGTTTTTTAAAATTTTATTTTATAGAGAGTAGTAAATGAGAAACAAATAAAACAAAACAAAAGAACAACAGCAGCATACCAGTATCACAAACATAAACAAACCAAAGTAAGAACATTTAAAGTGACACAAGGTTTCAAGGCAAAATAATACAAATTAACAATTGTTGTTATATTACATATCGCTATCCTCAACAATTTTGCTCAAGATTACCAGATGTAAGAATGGAAGATTGTTCAAACCATTAAAGAGAATAAGAAAATAATTATTGGATAAAATATTAGAGGTAATACAGAGTTTCACTAGACAAGATGGTAAGAATTCACCATGGTAATTCCATTGCCTATTTTACCTTCTCATCAGTTGCTCAGATTATCAGATATAAGCATGTAAAATTGATCAGAACAAATTTTAAGCATTAACTATTCCTTTCAATACACCAGCAGACATCAGCAATACAATTGTCACAGCTATCCATATATACATTTATATTTTGCCTTCCTTCTTTCTTTTTTCTTCTTTCCCTCATCCCAGTCATTCCTTCCTTTGAGCAGTTTCTTTCCCCTTCCTGTCATCTATCTAATGTGTTTTTTAAATTATTTTTTATTCTTTTTAATGGTTTGATCAATCTTGTGTTCTTACACCTGGTAATCTGAGCAACTTTGTTGAAGATAACAATACGTAATATAACAACCACCGTTAATTCCTATCATTCTGTTTTGAAACCCTGTATCATTTTTATTGTTTTTGTCTATGTTGTTGTTATTTTGTTATTTTTTATTCTCTTTAAAATAAATAAATAGACATTCACTTATATTCTATTCTACCATCAAGTATATTGATTACCAGACTGTCCACTATTATGCTGGTAGTATTGTACTTATTCTAAACCAAGAATATTATGAATTGATTTCCTTTTTACAAGTTAGAGGAATACAACAGGGAAGGAAATCATTTTGTTTATTTTTATCAAGGACAGAAAGAAAATCATCTTATATGCTATTAAAATTCCGTCCTGTTCCTGGAATATCTTCATTGTCAAACCTTAAATCTGGAGTACCAAAAAACCCACTTACTTCCAAGCTGCCTCTCTTGACGGGGTTCAGCACAAGCAGCTTCTTGAGCAGGTTCTCGCAGTCGGTGGACATGTAGAAGGGGATGCGGTACTTCCCCCTCAGGACCCGCTCCCGCAGTTCCTTGACAGAGCAGACGAGAACACTTACAACTGGACCGGCTTTGGGGACCAGCGTGCCTGGGGTGACAACACCAATATCCCACTGAGTGGTACCTTCAGATTCTGGCCATCGAAGGGCAAGGAGCCACTGACCAGCGTGTAGAGAATGACGCCGAGGCTCCACACGTCCACCTCGGGCCCGTCGTACTTCTTCCCTTGGAAGAGCTCGGGGGCGGCGTACGGGGGACTTCCACAAAATGTGTCCAGTTTGTTCCCCACTGTGAACTCGTTACTAAAACCAAAGTCAGCAATTTTAATATTCATATCAGCATCAAGGAGAAGGTTTTCAGCCTAAGAGGAAAATAATAAAAGGACAATGTAAAAAGCATACACAAAACAAAATCTTTGTTTGCACTTGTTTTAGAACCCGAACTTACATACTCTGTCTCTTGTTTTTAAAAGTAGTATCAGATTTAGAAGTGCACTCTGGTACTTGGCGGTGTAACTGCCCCACCTGACATCTCCAAGAGGCTAAATTTCAACATTAGAAAGGGAGCGCTCCAAGCTCTCATCTACTCACACACCCAGCTACGCACAGAAGAGGTTTCACTTCACACCTGTTTTCCTCCGTAGTCTACATGAACCTCCTTTTCCATCTTCCTGGTAACAAACATTTGCAACTACACCTTAGCTAGGTCTGAGTACAAGTCAGTACAAGCCTGTTCCCCCTCAGATGGGAACCGCATTTGTCCAGAGGCGCCCAGTGGGGCCGCCTCAGTGGACACGAGGTCAGGGGTCATCTCCACCGGGTTCCTCCCCGTGTCCTCCTTCCCCCACCAGGGACTGTGTATGCGAAAGTGTGAAACGATGCGGCCTGTTAGACTCGCCTGTCTCTAGCTCCTTTCCCTGCTGCGAACCTAGTTCTCCCCTGGAGACACATTACGTAAAAAGCTGGGGGCGCTGCCCCATGTTTGGAGAGCCTGACTTTCTAACATCCCAAGACAGAGGCGTTCACAAAGTTTTAAATGTGCCTTTTGCAGGCGCAAGCCATTCAGCCGAGGTGTGTGTTTTGTTTCAAACTCTGTTTCAGCTGACGAAGAGACTAAAAAAGTCACAGGCTACTTTGCAGATGTGCAGGTTCCAACAAGGAGTAAAACTTGACCAAAATGAAAACCATCACACGTTTATCCTGAAGCACGCTGGCTTATACGAGTCACATGCATTTCATGTTTGTGCACACACTGAAAGACTGTCTACGTGAGCTCCAAGGCAGAGGACGAATGCCGGCTCTTCCACCAGGTTAATGTGGATTTGTGCCTTGACCTTGCTTCTGTTGAGTGGGATCTTGCACATGTTTATTTGGGGATAAATTTCCACATTTTTCTATTTAAAACTAATTGAGTCATGGTGACTCAAGCCTTCCAGCTTTTGATACTGGATGATTTCTCTCCATATTGTCCTCATTTCCTCAGTGGGGGTCAGTATTTGCTAAAGTTCCTGTGAGAATCACATAAAAACTACTTGCCTCAAATAGGTAGGGAGCCAACTAGAAGTTCTGACTTTATTATGAAATGTGCATCACTGGGCCGTTGGTTACAAAGTTAGCAACTCACCTTAAGGTCACGGTGAACAATGCACTTTTGATGACAATACTGCACTGCAGACACGATCTGAAATAAATATTTGGGTAAGTGAGTAAAAATTACTTTATAGTAAACAATGCTGATTTTCTCACAATCGTCAACTCCAATTTAGATATATTACTAATTTGGATTTCAAAGTAAAATTGAGTAATTTCACTATTTCTTTAGTTCAGAAAATTATACATATTAGCAGGAGGAAACTTGCTCTTAAATGTAGAAACTATGGAAGGTACTATGAAAGCACACTAAACAGCTCCCTTGTCAGTCTGTGAAGATTTGTGCGGATCATTATGTCTCCCTGAATGTACAATACGTAGCTTTGGTCCAGTGGTGTACTGCAATGTTGAAAAAACTGCTTTGGCACAGGTGAATGAGCATTTCAGGATAATGGCTAGAGATTAAAAAACAAAACTACATCCTAGGAATTACATCAGGTGCGTTCAAGGCATGCTTTCTTGATTTAATAAAAGGTATATAGCAACACCTTATATTTATCTATTCAAATATAGAAAAATAGGAAATATTTTGAATCTTAGAAACACCCAATCATCAAAAGAAAAATGGGGAAAATGGAATTTAATCTTCCGTCACTAATTCAGCCTGGCAAAGAGTTCTATACTCATAAATACATCCTGCGTGCAGTTATGATTTTTAACCACTGTGAAGTGCTCCTGGGGACAAGGGTAGCAGCGTGGACCCAACAGTTTAAGAGCCAAGATATAAATGGGAGACAGATTATTAAAAAATTCTCTAATAGTTCTTTACCTGATAAAAAATGGTAAGAATCTGACAGCAGTGGATAAAGTGCTATTTCTGTACACTAATGACTAGGTCTGATGGACAAGAAAATGACCACTTTAATACATAGCAGAATGTTCAGTTGTGTGGACTCTGCTCAATGTAAATTCAGGTGGAATACTGAATGCTGGTTATTTACAAATGGACACAGAAATGAGATTTTTAGAAGATTAAAAGTGATGTAAACTAAGACATGCTAACAAGAATATGAGTGAAGAGAAAATGTCAAAGTAGTGTGAAACTGACATTCCAACATTAGAAAATTATCCTAATGTATATTACAGTGGTCCAAAGACAGATGCTATGAATTGAAAACGAAATCACCAACACAGTGAGTAATATACACTCGATCAAATTCACTGACTCCGTTCACTGAGTCCCTGCTATGTGCAAACAACGTGCTGGGTGCTGGGGTGGGATAGAAACAGCACTTCCTGGCCTGCCCTCCAGGAGCTTCCAGTCTGATTCGGCAGGAAAACGTGGGTGCACACAAGCCGAGGTACAAAGAAGTGAGAGAATCCAAAAAACGATGATTTCCATTGGAAATACTTCCCAGAATAGGTGCTATCTGATCGCAGCTGTCCTTGAAGGACAGGGCTCGTTCTAAACACTGAGACTGGGGGAAAGTGAGGTACAGGGTGGATGCGTTCATGTTGAGGGTGTGCCCTGTCTCTGGAAAACCCATGGGAAGACAGTGACAGAATGGGAACGAGACCCTTCTCGACAGGCAGGTAACAGTCCCTGAATTCCAAGCAAGCCAATACTGCAGAACCACTGACCTCGATTATGCAGGGTGATGTGAATGCTTAAGATCATTTTGAAGTGTGTGTCTCTAAAATAACCAATACTTGTAATGTTAGTTTTCCTAAGCAATATGCTCCAAAGTTCTAACACCCGACTTCCACTAACTTACGTCTGTTAGTACAGGGCCTCCACGCTGTGTGTGCACGGTAATGATTGTACGCACAGCTTATAGCACGTGCACACTACCAGGCCGTTTCTGTACGGAGGGTGTGGGAGTGTGCGGATGCTATGCTGTCTTTCCCAAGTCACACGGGTAGCTGGGTAATGATGTGTCACCAAACACAATCGGAGGCCAAGCGTTCACAGCAGACAGAACGGTCTCTAAGAGCAGCTACGGTTCCCAAGCACGAGCGCTTAGAGAATGGGACGGTGCTTCGCCAGAATGCTTTCTATTAAGCGTAATTCTCCACAGCCAGCAACCAGCGCGGTGCTTTTCAGTATTTCCACACCGGCCTAGCAGGGTGCACTTTCTGCCAGGGAAGAGGTGAGATGTTTGGGTTTCTGAATCAACCGCAGAACCCTCACCCACGTGGCCAAGTTTCACTGTAGTATTCTCTCTCCAACTGGACTCTCCCATCTCAGAAGGTTCTGGCCCCTCCGGTGAGGATGCAGGGCCTTCTCTATGGCCTGTCCATCAGGGACCCTGAGGACAGGATTTATAGGCAGCCCTGTACTGACCTTAAGGCTGTGCATGCCTCTGCTTTCTGGAAAAGGGCAGTGTTGGGGCTGCGTGGTAACTACTTGTAAGTGGGCAGCGAGGCCTGTGCTTTGGCTTGCAATACCCTCGAGGCTGGAATCAGTACTAAGACTGCTTAGCAGGCCGCAAGTCCCACAGAACGCAGAGGCGCTGTGTAGGTGATGACTGCTAAGCAGCCTCCAACTGTGCTGGTGTCTTTGCTCTCCCTTACAGGGGCCATGGACCGGTATTTATGTGCCCTTGCTAATGCAGAACATTCTTCCACTGTTCAAAAATTCATAGAATACAGAGAAAACAGATAAACACGAATGTACATGTATTCATTCTTAAGAATTTAAACCCATAAAGAAAAATAAACTCCTCAGAAATAAACTTTCTAGTTTTGGGGGGACACATATAAATGTTAAATGTATTTAACATTTATAGCACACGAGGAATCGTACAGAAAATATTTCCCATTGTTCTACAGTAAATGAACTGATTAATTATTTTGTGCTGGAAACTGAACCCAGGGCCATCGCAGAGTTACATCCCCGGTCCTTTTCCAAAATGTTTCATGTTGAGACAGGATCTCATCAGGCTGCCAGGTGGGACTCGAACCTCTGATCCTCCGACCTCAGCCTCCCTGAATGCTGTGACTGCAGGCACGCAGCACCACACCTGGCTGGTTTTACACATTTTAAATAGCATTAAGTGGACACTGAACTTCTGCAACATGAAGAACATAAACCTGAATTCAAAATAGTTCACATGCTATTTGCAAAAGTCAGTGTTAGTAACTGCTTGATCTACATGGATCGCAGCAGGGCCTGTGCTCGCTGGTCAGGAGACACCTTTACTCCAACTTCCTGTCCTCCTGTCCACAGCAAGGGTGGCAGGCTCTGTAAAACAGCATGCATTTCACCCTCTCTGATTTCACAGAGTTCCAAGCACAGTTTTCCACACTAAGTATGTTTTTGGTAAATAAGGAGAACTAGCAGAGTAAAAAGGAAAAGGTTAAGTAGCAATAATCTCTAAAACATACATTAATTAAGATTCCAATGGAAATAATTAATGCCAATTGGAATTTTTCACTGGTCTGCTACAAACTAAAACCACTGTGACTGATACTGAAAAAAAAATATTTAAAGCAATGCCTGCAGCACTCCGCTTAAGAGCAGCTTGGCCCTCACCCTGCAGAGGAAAGAATTTCACCGTAAAGGGACCAAACACAGTTCAGTTTCTTAATGTGGCTTTCCACATTACCAGTTGTTTCTGAGTTCACAATTTTAGCAGGAATGCTTCTAGGAATCTCTCATGAATAAAAGGGCTATGTGTGTCTTTGGTATAAAGCATGTCACAAACTGTGTATCAAAGAATAGTAATTCTGTAAGACCTCAATAACAGAGACTTTACAGAACAAGTCTCCCCACAATTCATTTGAAAAATGCATGTCAAAAAATGTTAAACAAATCTTTTCTCCCTTCCCCCTTCTCTTGAGGGTTTTGCTGATTGTTTAGTATGTTAACCTAAATAATTCCCTTAGAGGAGGGTTCTCCAACCTCTGTAATTGCTAAATTAGTGCCTGTAATTAGAGAAGTGGGGGAGCAATTCATAAGTGAAAGTTTTAAATTCTTGGAGCGGAAGTTTAGGATATTGTAAGTTGTCTGCTGCACCTGACATTAATACATTTTATGAACAATCCGTAATTAATTAATCATTTCTATAGGAATTCATTAGGTAGGCTTACTTTCAATTCAGTCCTAAAAATTAAAAATAAAATCCTAGATGATTTAAATTATTTTTCCTTACTTTATAATTTCTATAACAAATCATATTGAAGTTTAATTGCAAATGCCAATATCTTACAGAATTGTAAGGCAGTATCATCACCTTCTGTCACACTGGCAAGATTCTTTGACTGCGGCTAAATAAAATTATCTGTATTCTTGAAATCTATAAAATGCGTTTCGATACCAGTACATATTTAATTATAAAAAACCGCGCAATAACCTCTTTAAGCAGTACACATATATGCTCTGTACATAACGCTTACAATACTGGATCACAACTACCGGATACAGGTGTCAAAGAATTATGTACTTCTTCTCTACCTTGGGCTGGTGTGTATCTCCAAGACTCAGAGTTAAGGTGAGTCTCACTTATAAAAATTCACTGTTTATCACCAGCTAAAAATAACCATCTGTATTTCAAATTTAAATTCAGGAAAATAAGTCTTTGTTTCCAGGAATTTTCCTATTTTAAAAAGTGTAAGCAAGCAGGAATTTAACTTTTTAAGACGTCTTGTGCACTTAAGTCCAGCTTGTGCTTCTGTCCATTGTACATCACTAAACACAACAGCAGAACAAAGTTGAAACCACTTTCCATACCTGCCTAAATTTTGAACGGGCCTCTTTTTCTTTCATTCTTCCATGGGCAACTAAGTAATCAAATACTTCACCTGAATCAGAAAGGCAGAGCAGGTAGTAAAATATACAGAGATTTTCAGTTAATAATATACGCAATGTCAAGTTTTTGCAGAAACTTTTGGCCCACGATTTTCTACTATGTCTAAGTAAGTTACAAACCAAATACATGAATAGAAAAAAGGAAAAAATACATAGACAATGGAGTATCTGTAGCGGGTTATGATTTAGCAAACCTCTTCAAACATACATCGTAAAAAACATAACCAAGAAAACACGTTTTCTGGTTTCAAGTGTTATGTACAAATACAGTCAACTCTTTATTGTCCATTCTAATAAAGGGAAGCTATGGCACAGGAAATGCAAACTACTCTTGGCTTTGTATTTGGGGCCTCCAGTGCAAACAAAATAAAGACACCCTCTCCTTTAAATTCTACCAAACGTGGAGTCCTGGAGTCCTGGTCAAATGCCATCTCACTATCTGACTGATTTCTTTCTTTTCCTTCCTATGCCGGTTATGCTTAATCTCACTCTACTTATGTCCTCTGGTAGTTAACGTTAATCACACAAAGTTAAATCACACTTGTGTACATCTCGGTTACCCCAAGTGAACTGCAGACCTCTTGCACATCATCGTCATAGCTGCACTTGATCTGCATCCTCTTCATGATAGAATACAAAGGGGTAAGCAATAAGCTCATTGAAATAATTAAAGATAACTAGATGCTGGAAAAAATTCCCAGTAATCCACTTCTTTACATACTTATGTTTTAAATTTCCTCTGGTTGGTTTAGTAAAACAAATTAACCTTCAATTACAATTTTAGAAATAAAATAGCTCAGTGTACTTATAATGTGCAACACATAGATATACATGTATATTAAAAACTTATAAAGTGGTTTTTAAAAATCCCGTTTAATAGAGCAAAACTGTTAAAAACTCAGGCTTCAGGATCAGGTCAGTTTTGGTAAGGATCCTGGTCCCGCCCTAAGAAGCGACTAGAAGACAAGAAGACTGAGTTTCTACCTGCTGCCTGCTCCTGTGGCCCTGGGGAGCGCAGGAATAATGCGTGTGCTTGGTGCAGTGACTGGCCTAGAGCAAGCACGCAATGAAGGATACATTTATACCTAGGTAAATTGATACATTCCAAATACATACACAATACCCTAGGGTGTAAGCAAAATATTAAAAATCAAATATGCAATGGAAACATGTCAGATGAAACTATTACATCTACAATGTGAAACAACATATTATACCAAGCGTACCGTGGGATTAAGTGGGACAATGGAAACAGAAATGAAGGGATGCTCGAGGTGATTCATCAACGGAGTTAATCTCAGATGTGTGTTAACAGTTGTTATTTCAGGTAACCCGTCATAGTCCCTAACTCCAGATATGAGTTTAGGCTGGGAAAACATGTTTAGGACTTCAAAGATTTGGTTCTGCTCTTCGGTTACGTGGAGAATGCTGACACCCTGGACATTTACACGGGCCAGTCCCCACTTACCAGGTACTGTGCATGGATGATCTGCTTCTCCAACAACCATGCAGCCTGTGGGTAGGGACTCTGTCTGTGCTCACCTCTGCATTCCTACCTCCTAGAACACTGCCTGGGAAGCACTTCACAATCATTCTTCCATGAATGAAAGAAAGGATAAACACACCATCCAGAGTAGACCCGACATCTACTTTTAATAGGCTTCTCTGGATTAAACACAGTTTGAAGTCATAAAGGATTTCCCTGACTTGGAACCAGTGAAGATCTTCACTCCACTGGGCACCAGAACCAACTGATCAACCCTTGGCAAAGGGGCAGCTGTCTGCCTCAGCTCCGGCCATGCCAGGTGCCCACGTGAAGCTGTCTCTCCACCCAGCTCCCCATGAGGCTTGCTGCTGTGTCGGGGAGGCTGGCAGTGCCCCGCCAGTGGCCTGGCCATTGCGTCCTTCATTGGCACCAATAGAGAGCTGACTGTACATGTCATCAACACATCAACCTGCTCACGTCACACTAGCACAGCCTAGGATTTCCCGTATCAAAGTGCGTCCAGCCCTTTCTCTAAACTTCAGATCACTAGCGCAAGGAAAAAAGAGTCAAGGTGAACCGAAAATAACATTCAGGGTTCTCATGCTGACAGACTGAGACGTCAATCTAAAAACCAGAAAAATAAATAGTTCATTACGTGGTATTTGAAAGTTTATCAATTTTATTACAAGTCTGTATTTTATGAAAATGTGCCTGGATATTTAATTTTTAAAACCCTATAATAATAAACACTAATAAGCAAGGTTTTTAGATTAAGTTTAAAAACCTAAATTGAAAAATTTTCAGGGTAAAAACAAGCTTTGCAAAAACCAAGTCTACTAAAGCATTTAATCTGCATGAATAAGTAGAAAGCAATTAAATACATGTAATGTTTATAATGTTTTTGCTTTTTTTTTTTTTTTTTTTTTTTTTTTTTTTTTGGTCTTTTTTAGACAGAGTCTCGCTACGCAGTTCAGGCTGGCCTTGAACTCACTTTGTAGCCCTGGCTGGTTTCAAATTTGCAACAATCCTCCTGCCTCAGCCTCCCAAGTGCTGGGATTACAGGCGTGTGCCACCACGCCCGGCTCCTAATGTTTTGACATCTGAGAGGCTACATAAAAATGTGTGGGTTAGATGCTAGAGATGGAAATAAATTCTCTTTACTCCAGTTTCCATAAAATCATCATCACCATAAAAATCTATAAACTTTACTTGTTAAGAGCACAGTATTAAGTTCCACACTGTTTTCCTATTGCTTAGCAGAAAGTTAACCAGCCAAATAATTTCAGCTGCCCTCTCTTTTTTCCAATTTCTTAAATTCTTTGGGTCTTAAAGACATTCCTTTAAGTACTCTTCTTTATTTATTAAATTCCTTAACTCTGAAAATTTTAAATACCTTTCTGAGAAGTACTAACAACAATAATTTTGAGTCAGTTTGTCTCTCAATTAAGAGAAAGTAGAGGAGATAAAAGTGATTTTCTATTGTATATCAGTATTTAAAAATCATTCATATCTCTGATACTATGAGAGCCAAAATATACATATCACACAACAGATGTATCTTGCTACGTCCCTTTATAACTAAGTCCTCTAAGTTATAAAATGTACACATCAATACTTGTTTACATTTGAACATTTTATGAATTATCTCAAAGATGTATGTACACTGAGAATCTGTCTACATGAACACTCAGTGAAACAGACAACTGACCTAGAACATGCTTTCATGTGGACTTCATAGATACTGTATTAGAGATTACTTGCTTATAGCCAAGAGCGTCCAATCAAAATATCATGATATATTATTATTACATGTAAATAAGCAAATTGAAATTTTCAGAAGGTGACAAAACACATTTAGAGTTTCAAAAATGCCCCTAAATATTCTTAAAATAATCCACAAATTCTATTTACAATGGAAGGATCAAAAGGTCTTGAAAGCAAACACTGAATTTTCTTAAAGCTATAGTTTAAAGGTGTTTTAGTAAAATTATATAAATGTCACAAAGCACTGCAGGTATTATTAATTCTACTTCAGTCCTCTTCATTCTTACCCCCACTCGCATATTCCATGATTAAATAGAGGGTCTTCTCTGTCTCAATAACTTCAAACAATTTCACTAGAAAAAGAAATTAGAGATAGAACTCTGTAATTGTTAGCATAGAATGCACGTGTTTTAAATAAACCTAAGGTAACACAAAGCCAGTGAAAACCTGGAGTATATTTGCTGAAGATGATTAAGTGTAATCTTAAATTCAAAAAGTTTCTCAAGAGTTACTACTCTTGTGGAAAAAAATGATTTACTACAAAGCAACTTGGAATTAAATGAGTTAAAAAGTTTCCGAGATTAAAAAAACATATATTTTCTAATCAGAATAAGAAAAATCCTAAAATCAGAGAAACAAATTTTTTAAATTGCTTAAAAGGAAACTGCTATAATGAGGGATCATAAAATGTTAAATAATCTTCGGTAGTAAAACAAATATCTCTATTATAAAAGTTTCTGGTAAAAACAAAGTTAGACTCATGTTCTTGAAATTATTTACCACCAATAATCACATTAATAGCTATAAAAAAACAAGACTTTTAAATATACAAGAAACAAATTTTGAAAATAAACAGACTTTTAAAGAACTGTTTTTTACTACTTCCAGCCAAATGACTTTATATGATACTATATCTAATCAATAAATTTATTTGTAATGATGGGGAAAATCAGAAAGTCACCAAATTCAAATCCACTGAAATCGACATTTATTTTCTTGAAAATGCATAGTTATTTTGCTTATCAACTATGACCAAACTCAAGTGTATATTACTAAAACATCTGGGACTGGGGCTGGGGATTTAGCTCAGCGGCAAAGCGCCTGCCTGGCAAGCGCAAGGTCCTGAGTTCGGTTCCTGGTACCGGAGAAAAACCAAAATAAATAAATAAATAAATAAATAAATAAAACATCTGGGATTCATTTTCTATAAATACCTAAAATGGCATGCACTCTCTATATGAAGAGATCTTGTTTGAAGATACAAAACATTTGTATGCATTAATTATACTAATTATTTTGAAAGTGAGCAAAATACAGCGAAATGATAGAAAACAGCAACTTGTAGCCTTCGGTTAACTTCCTTACAAGCTATTTTTACCCAGTGTCACATTCCCAATCTATCACTTTCTTCTACTGATGTAAAGCACTCTTAAAAGTGTATCTTCTTAAATATCTTCAAATTATAGAAAACACTTTGTCACTAATTGTGTACATAAATTTCATACCTATATTAGGATGATTCAATATCTTCATTATTCGTACTTCTCGAAACAACTGTCAAAGAAAACAGGTAGATACATGTCTGTTTAAAAACAGAACACTCAAGCAGAGAACCACTGAAAACATTCAAATGAAAAAAATCACCTGTGTAACAAAGACACTGCGGATTCTGGCAACAAACCGAAACAGATTTTTTCTCGGTCCTAACTGCATGAAGATCTTAACTTCACTGAGACTTGGCTTCTAAAAGAACCATAGCTAGCTAAACTCAAGTGGCCCTGCCCCCACGCAGGCTGTACATGTACTGCTTGTAAGGGAATGACACCACCCGATGACCCTTTGTGACTAGGTGCAAAAGGAAAATCCCGTGGGATGGAGCTAAACGACCCGCCACGCATCTTCACCCGGAAGCAGCCTTCCCTGGGGGTCCAACTCCTTAACGTCACCTCTTTTGGTTCATGAGACATTTTAATGAGATGCAGGGGCATTTGACTCATAGAATAACAGTATGATTTGGCATTTTTCCCCCTTGATGTTGTCGAGTATGTGTTAGATTCAAAATCAAGAAATTTGTTCAAGAAAATAGAAGAACCAAGAGTTGATGATATTCCAAAAAGTCTATATTAAGACATATGTGTTTTGTCAGAATAAAATCTAAAATTAGTGCTTCCAGCAATGGTGCTTCTCCAGAGAAGATCTATAAATGGCTAAAGGGAACATGAGAAGATGCCTAACTTTATTAATCTTAGGGAAACACAAGTCAAATACACAATGACATACCTCCTCATACTCATTACGTTGATTACTATTTTTTAAAAAAGCCAGACATGGTGGCACACAACCACAGTCCCAGCACTCTGGGAGGCTGAGGACAGAAGGTCACCAGGAAGGCTAGCCTGTGGAACTTAGTGACTCAGTGAGACCCCGTCTCAGGAAAAAAAAACCAAAAGCATAGGACATGGTACAATTGGAACCTTCTGTACTGCTGATGGGGATGTCAGAAGATGAAGCTTCTATTGAAAACCACATGACACTACAGAAAATGGTATTTCTAACACAGTTAAAAATAAAATTATCACAAGACTTAGCAATTCTACTTCTGAATTCCACCATTCAGCTTTAAAAAGCAAGGTGATTCTGACACATATTACAACATGAATGACCCTGGTGGACAGTGTTCTAAGTGAGGTAACCCAGTCACAAAAGGACAAATACTGACTACATTCCCGTGAGGAACCGATGCAGCGTAGTTAAATAGAACGATGTCGCCCAGGCCAGGAGGCTGGGAGGTACCGCTTCATGAACACAGAGGGCCCCTCTGGGAAGAAGACAAACCATGCTGGGTCTGGATGATGACAGCTGTCCACTCTGTGGAAGCACTCAACGTCACTGAACTCTGTGCTTTAAAATAGGTAAAACGGGGGCTGGGGATTTAGCTCAGCGGCACAGCACCTGCCTGGCAAGCGCAAGGTCATGAGTTCGGTTCCTGGTACTGGAAAAAAACCCAAACCCTGCCCCCGCAAAAAAAAATTAAAATAAAATAAAATGGGTAAAATGGCAGGTAAAGTTTATGTATGTTTTATCGTATTTTTAAAATATATATATATAACATGCAAGAGTACATCAATAAAATTTCATCCCAATGAAAAAAGAGCTCCTTAAGGCTCACCTGGGACAGAAAAGCTCATCCTATCTGCCCTCAATAAGACCCAGGAAGTATGCAAGTCTGTTTCTATACATTCACACATCCATGGAAATTCACTTTATGAAGTCCACAATAATTAAAAGCCGTACGTAAGTAGAATATAAAAGGCAAGTTCATTCCTGTTCGAGACAGCTCCTTCCTCTAAGTGGGAAGCACATTCTGGGTTTAAATTTGGGTTGAAGAGCATGCAGCTGAATCTCTGGGTGGCCTTTGCCACCCACAAGTTTTCCTAGGCTCCCACAGGACATTTCCCCGAGCAACTGCCCAAGTCTTCTGTCTTTCCACAGCACTGCCACTCTGTCTTGTGCTAGATCCCGCCCCTCTCCTCAGTCTTTAACATGGACCTCCTCCTCACTGAGGTCTTAGCCCCCTTACATACCTGCTCTCCTTGGCGGCTTTATCATGGTGTCATGTTCAGACCTAAAATGGTCCCTTAAAAGTCTCCCGTGTTCAGAGGTGCGGCTTTTGGACAGAGACTGAATCGTGGGGTGCTGTTCTCATCAGTGGACTCATTTGTTGAGTTCATAGCCCACTGTGCTGTTAGGAGGTGGGGCCTGGCTGGAGTGGGTCACTGGGGGTGTGACCTAGAAGGTGCATTCCGGCCCCTTGCCCCTTTCTCCTGCTTCCTGGCTGTCATGGGTCGAGGCCATCCATCATGGTGTTCCGCCACACTGTTTCTGCCTCGGACCCAGCTGACCATGGACTGAACTCTGAAATGTGAGCCAAATGAACCCTCTTCTCCTTTAAGCTGTCATGTCAGGTATTGAGTCTCAGGAACAGGAAAGCTGACAAATACACAAGGCTTCTGTGACTCCAAACCTTAATTCTTCATCCTCAACTCTCTTTTATCCTAAGTGTTTGTTTTGGTACTGCCCCTCCCGATATTTTTGCTTGTCTGTCTCACAGGAATTCAAGCCCACCACTTGATTTCTCAACCGAACTGGTGGTCTCCCCGTGTCACCAGAACACATCCATGATCTTTGGTGTGTGTGGCCAGCCCTGAGAATCAAGGCCCCTGCATCTCTCAGGTCTCTCAGGGTGTTCTGGTTCCGCATGGACTGCACACCAGCCACTCCGCATCTCTCTCCGTCCTTAAACTCACCGAGTCCTTCCCACCAGGGCCTGGGATAATATGTCCCCCTCACACTGGAATGAATGTTCTTTTCCCTTCTTCAGGGTTATAAACGAATTCAAATTTGTTTAAAGTACGAAAATCAACACAGCATCTCTGAATCTACCAAGTTTAACCAATAATGGGAATAGTCTGTATTAAGATGTTTGCATTTTTTATTTTTAAGAAAAACAATGAATTTTAGTTAATAATTATATTTTCACAAGGTATTGTTGGCATTAACCCTGACACTCATAATTAGGACCCAATCCATCCCTTTTCTTCCTTGGGTTCTGACCTGAGGGTAGGACACACCATCGCACACACTCTTACAGTTTTTCTACATGTATGTTACTTAATACTTTCTGTGTTTTAAAGTTTAGATAAATGGAATCATGCTGAATATCTCCTTCTAAGCTTCTCTTTCACTCACTGCATCACTGCAAGGTCCACTGCATCGTATCTGGAGGTCCATCCTCATTCACACAGATATCTGGTTCATCTATTTTACTTGCAGTGTCCTGTTGCATGATAAGAAGAAAGCGTAGTCTACAACTGCTTTACTGAGGGTGCTTAAGTTCCTTCCACTAAAAATGAATGTGAGCTGTGCTACCACGAACATGTCTGATATGCCTCCCCACAGCAGGTATCGAGAGACAGTATCTGAGTGGGGCAGACACAGCTTCAGTTTTGTTACGTCTTGCCAAGTTACCAGTCCTCCACCTAACCCTGCACTTGCAGGCCCAGTGTAGAAGAGGTATGGAGCACCCTGCCTGTTCCTGAACCTCTCTGCCCCGAACGCCTGCAGCCGCAAGGGTGAGTGAGGGTGCCACTGCCTGGTGGTTTCGCTGACTCCTCTGGCAAAGGGAGGCAGCCTCCACTCGGGAGGCCTGGATATTCTAGACTCCTGACCGGGGCTCACAGGTTTGGAAAGCAACTATCAGCTGCTGGGCTCCACTGACTGTGAACACAGGTCACAGAGGGCCAGCCAATGCCTTCCTCCGGTACAGGAACCAGGAAAGGTGAGGGAGATTTTTCTTTTGGGGGAGTGTGTTTTCCCGTACTGGGAATCGAACTCACAACCTCGCGCTTGCCAGGCAGGCGCTGTGCCGCTGAGCTAAATCCCAAGCCCCTGAGGAAGATGTTACACACACACACACACACACCACACACACATACCACATACATGCACACACAGCTTCCTGTTTTAGAGCAGTTTTAGCCTGATGGAAACTTGAGCAGAAAGTACAGAGCGCCCCCTTGCTGCCCACCTTGCCAAAGGACACTGCCCATCCCGTCAACACTCCAAGCCGAAGTGGTGCCTTTGCCCTAATCAGCGACAGTACTGACTGCCCACCACCACTCGTGCCCGGAGCTGACGCTGGAGTCACCACTCGGGGGGGACTCTGTACATCTGCACCAGCGGGGGTGACACGCAGCCCCACTCACTGTGCAGGGCATTCCCACTGCGCTGAGAAGAGCCCGCACGCCACCCGCTCGCCCCCCCATCTGCTAGGCCCCTGTGGTCCTAACATCCCCGCAGCTCCACTTTCCGCATCGCCACACAGTGAGGTGACAGGACAGGGCCTTTAGTGGGCTTCCCCTGCCCAGGAATATGCATCACGGTTGCGGCTGCGTCTTTTCATGGCTTGGTAGGTCACCTTCCAGGGCCATGGGCATGCGCCACGTTTCTTCATCAGCTCACTTACTGGAAGATAGCTTGGCTGCGCCTAGCTTTCATCAGTTATGAATCAGCTGGCACCAACATTTGTGTCTGGGCGGGGGAATGGATATAAGTTTTCAACTCCTTCGGTCAAGACTCAGGAGTGTGGCTGCCAGACTCAGGGAAACGGGTGCTCAGCGGTGCAGGGCGGAGCCCCCTCGGCATCCCCCAGCACAGAGGAGGGCCCGCTGGTGCACGGCCTTGCCTGCTCCCTGCCGCCCGCCCTTTCCCATGGCCGACGAGGTGTTTCGCTGCGGTTGTCCCTGACGCATGAGCGGAGCATCTTCTCAAGCGCTCGCTCGCCGTCTGCGTACTGTCTCCAGTGTGCTTGCTCAGATCCCTTGCTCATGCTTTAATCGGGTTTTCATTTTCCAAGTTCTTTTAAAGCCGATTTCCAAGGAGCCCACTCCCACCCTCCACATCACCCTGCCTGTGGGTGGCAAAGAGTGACTCTAGTCTGTCACATGCGAGATCGGCCGCCAGCAGGCACGGCCCCTCGCGTCCTCCTGGGGTCT